CCCTCACCCGCGGGAACTCCTGACTTCCGCAGTGGCTTTGGTCGGTGGACGTGTCGCTGAGGCTGGGGCTCCTCCCCCTGCACCTTCTCTTTCCTGTCCGTCACTTATTTCGGTGCCCCTGTCCCTTCCTGGAAAGGCGCGAGGGTTCCTGCTGTTTATAAAATGGAGCTAATGTTACACCGCCACTCAGCCTTGGAAGCACATTGGGGAGCACCTGCCCCCATTCCCCAGGGTGACGGGGATTCTTAGTCTTTTCTGTGGGTCAGTGGTCGTTTTCAAGTCTTAAGAGTGCATGCACTTACACCCCAGGCACAAGTGTTTGCAAATTGTTTCATTCTCCAAAGCGAATCTCCCCAGTTCAGAATAGGTCCTATGAGAGACACACACAGGTAAATGCCACTATTCCTTGAGGATTGTACGGTGTCCGAGTGTATTGTGAATGTACCCACTGGAGGAAAAAGAAAATGAGGAGCTGTTAACAGTAGACTCGGGGTCATTTCTAATGACCAGCATATAACACAAACTGTTTTTAAAGCTAGTTGTTAAGAGTTTGGGGAGATGCTCAGCATACAGAGTTCACATAAGGAGGTAAAGAAAGAACCGACTCCCCAAAGTTGTCCTCTAGACACACACACACACACACACACACACACACAGTGATAAGTAAAAAATTTTAAAAATACATTGGTGCTGGCAATTTTTTCAAGTTTGGTTGTTTGTTCGAGACAAGGTTTCTCTGTGTAGCCCTGGCTGTCCTGGAAATTGCTCTGTAGGCCAGACTGGCCTTGAACTCAGAGATCCTACCTCTGCCTCCCAAGTGCTGGGATTAAAGGCATGCACCACCACCATCTGGCTGGTGCTGGCAACTTGTGACAGCAGAACTTACTACAACGGCCCCCCCCACCATCTTTTAAAAAGATTAATTCATTAACTTTTTAAAAAAAGATTTTATTTACTTATTTATTATGTATACAACATTCTGCTTCCATATACATCTGCACACCAGAAGAGGGCACCAGATATCATAACGGATGGTTGTGAGCCACCATGTGGTTGCTGGGAATTGAACTCAGGACCTCTGGAAGAGTAGCCTGTGCTCTTAACCGCTGAGCCATCTCTCCAGCTCCTAATTCATTAACTTTTATATGTACAGTGTTGTACAGTAGGTACATCCTGTTCATGCATGGTGCCTGCTGAGGTCAGAAGAGGGTATCTGGAGTTAGGGATAGTTGTGAGCCACCCATCATGTGAGTACTGGGAACCAAATTTGTGTCCAACTGCAGCAAGATAAGTTGCTGTTATAAATGGTCTTTGGTCCAAGAAGGGAATGGTGGTGCACACCTGTAAGCCCAGCATTCAGGAAGCTGAAGAAAGAAGAGGGAATTTGAGGTCGGATTAGGCTACACAATGAGATCCTGTCTGAAGGCGCAGTGGAGGAACCATAGGACCTGAATAGACAGTAGAACATTTTGATCCATTCTTGTTTATTTTTAAGACGTTCTCATCTCACGTAGCCCAGATTGGCCTCTTTAATTTACTGTGTAGCTGAGGATGATCTTAAAGTCTGGATCTTTCTAGTCTAACTTTTTTTTCTTTTTTTGCTTTCTGTATTTTTTGAGACGAGGTATTGCTTTGTTAAGCCCAAGTTGCCCTTGAATTGAAGGTCCTCTGCAGCAGCCTGAATGCTGGAATTATAGGTAAATACCACTATTCCTGACTTTTTGTGGTGCCATTTGTTCTAGTTTCGTTTCTGTAGCTGTGATGAAACACCTGACAAGCAGTACAGGGGAGGGAAAGGTTTCTTTGGCTTACTAAGTTAAAGGCACTTGAAACCACCATGTCCATAGTCCAAAGCAGAGAGAAAGAAACGGAACACCATGCTGCCTGCTGGCTTGTGCTCTCCTGAGTTCTTACTAGCTGGTTCTGCACAGACAGCTGAGGGCCCAGCCCACAGTTGATTGAATTTTCCCACCTCAGTGAAGCAGGCCTCCCCTACACGCCCACAGGCCAGCCTCATCAAGATAATCCTCTTCCAGCCTCCCTTCTAAGGTGATATTTAAAACTAATTATTCTGTTCCTCTTAAGTTGACGTAACAGTTCATCTGCTTTATGTAGAAAGTGATGATGAAGAGTGAAGTAAGTTGGATGCTTTTGAAATGGCGTCGCTTGGCAGTGCGGCCTCTGGTACTCCATCTGGGTCATCACCTTTCCCTTGTGTTGCCATTTGTTTGCCTTTTCTTCAGTTGAGCAACGTGCCTGATGATGGCAACAGTATACACTTTTTAATTTAGTAAAAGAATGGTAAAGAATATACCAGCACACAGAGTGTCTGTGACTGTATTTTTAAGAATACAGTAGTTGTAGGAAAAATGAAAATACAAGTGACAGAATTGTGGTGATGAAAACATGTTTAAAATAGACAGGAGAGGAGGAACCTTACATTTCCACCTAGGTAGAAAATTCTAGTGGCCTACAAACTTCTGCTTCCTTGTAGCCTTCTGTTAGTTTTTCACATTTTTTTGCCCAACTGGAGAGGGCTATAGAGCATGAACCATGTTCTGAGTTCCAAGATGGTGTTTGCTCTGAGAGCTTACAAACCCCAGTTCTGAACCTAGGCTCTCTGATCCATGTAGGGCTAAAGAAGACAGTTTGCCAGGTGTCTGAAATGTTTGCTAAGATTCTGCCCTCTCTCCCAGTGCATATAACATGGAGCCCATACATAGCTTCTCATCTTTACCACACTAACCTACCAGTGGACTGAAAAAGAGCCCTTAGTTGGGTCTAGCTTCCTTTTAGTCCCTCCTTCACATTTCTGCCACAGCTGCCTGAAAGTAGAGACACTGAAGTATCCTCTGCTTAAAACCAGCTCTTCAGATTACTGAGTAAAGTCCCAGCTCCCAGCCCACTGTCTTGACTCTGCTGTTCTGCCCGCCCCCCATAGTTCTCAGTTCTCGACTTGGTGAAGCCACAGAGTACATGGGATCTTTGTTCAGAACGCTGCTTGTGTTTTCTCCAGCCTTCTCGCCTTCTCTATAGGAAAGAAAACATGTATTTCTCAAAACTACCTCCTAAGAAAAGTGGCTCTTGCCCTTTCCCAGTGTAAACTTCTTTAGTATTTTTACCAGTACTTTTCTTTCTAGGACTTTTAGTTCATTCTGTTTTGTATCTGATCATTTTGGCTTGCTGAACTCAGAGTCCTTAAGTGGACAGGAATCTTGAGTTTGTGTCTGTGATTCAGTTGAAAATGGATATTTACAGCAGCATTAGTCCCACAAACTCTCCCTGTAAAAACAGTATTTTTTGGCTCACAGTTAAAATCCTACTTTGTTGTCTTGCTTAATTTATCTTTTAAATTTTGGTTTCTCTTTGTTCCTACAAAGTTTTAAAAATTTATAGTATTGAATTTAATAGTTCAGTGAATAGGTCAAGTATTATAAACATAGGTAGCTATTTTATATTCTGGGTTTCTCCTCTGTCCTCAGGAAGACAAGCCTCTTAGAGGTATAACACTTATAACCTCAGCAGGGCACAGTGCAGTCGGACAAGCTACAGGGTGCCACACTGAAATCATTTTAAATTTGTGGGCTTTTGGAAATGGGGGCTCAGGGAACAGGAAAGGGTGGGTGATCCTTAGTGTTTTGTTTTTAAAGTGACTTAAACAGGGGTTACTGATAGCAAAGCACCGACTGCTTCGGTCACTGTGTTTGCATTCACCAGTGATAGAAAGTGCTCACAGAAGTTGTCATTGTTTGCATTCACCAGTGACAGAGAGAGTGCTCACAGAAGTTGTCACTGTTTATATTCACTAGTGACAGAAAGTGCGCACAGAATTGCATTCACCAGTGACTGAAAGAGAGTGCTCACAGAAGTTGGATTTTGGGTGTTGTTGTAGAGGGATGTGTTGACAGCCAAATTAAGTCATGGCTACTTAAGTGTAGAATATTGAGCAACAGAAATTGTCCTGTGACATGGTGCTCACTGTTCTGAGCGATCCTGGCTTTTGGAAGAAGACATGGAGACCTTCCAGGGGGACTCCCTTCAAGGTAACAGAGCCTCCTTTTGCCTCCATGATAAAGATGGACATGTGCTGGGAAGTCTGGACCTGTCTTCCCAAGGAGGGTGCACAGGGGAAGTAGAAGGCGGAGTGGACTGCCTACAGCACCGTTTCCTGGGCTGGAGTTGGGCTTCAGCCATTTCTGCTCTCTGCCACCCCCTCCTTTCATTTGTTTGACTGACAAGAGTGCCAGGCCACCTCAGACATTCCTTGATGTGTGTGTTGGGAATTTTAGTACATTTCTTCAAACTACAAATACAACACCCAACTTCAGAAACAAAGGGGTTTTGTTTGTTTGTTTGTTTGTTTGTTTTTTAAATAGGGGCTGGGGAGATGGCTCTGTGAGGAAACGCTTGCTGTGTCAAAATAAGGACCTGCGTTTGGATCCTCAGCACCCCTGTACATGTGGGATGGTGGTCATCTGTGACTCTAGCACTGGGTAGAAAGTAGGAGGGAGACAAGCAGTCCAGAGCTCACTGGCCACCAGCCTAGCCAATCAGTAGGCTCCAGCTTCATTGAGAGACCCTCTCTCAAGAGATAAATGGACAGGGCTGGGAAGATGGCTCTTACAGAGGACCCAGGTTTGGTTTTCAGCCTGGCACCCAGACGGTAGCTCATAACCATCTGTAACCCCAGTTCAGGGACTCCTACACCTTCCTCTGGCCTCTGCAGGCACCAGGCACTCAGGCACAGACATACATGCAGGGAAAGCACTTAAGTGTCTAAACACATAAAATAAAAATAATCTTTAAAAAACAAAGTGAAGAATAAGCACATAGTGTAGGGAGACACTATAACCACCTAAGGGCTGGCTACAGGTGTGCCCGACCACGCTCGTCAGGGCTTTTTTCCCTTCTGCTTCAGCTTGCTCTGCTTTCCTGCCGGTTGGCTAGGGAACTCTGTAAGTGAGGCATTTCCCCTAAATAAAATATCCTAACCATTACCTGATTACATATTGGTAATTAACGTCAATACACATAGCTCTACATATATGTGTACACATGTATCATATGCATACATCTATTTAAAGTTTAAATAGAACAGATATAATTGAACTAATGGCTGGCTTTTCCCCTTTTCCTCATTCCAGAGAAGAGGATGCAGTGAAAGCACTTTCAGGTGTCCGGGCATTTATCCTAAAGAGCTTTTGCTCCCACTGACTAAATTGTTTATGAATAGTGCAATCTGTTATTTTTGCTTTTTTAAAATAAGTTTTTTTATTGCAGGTACGTGTGGTTCTCAAATACAGGCATGTTGATGGGAATTTGTGTATCAAAGTAACAGACGATTTAGTTGTAAGTATACATTTTTATTTGTTGCATTGGGGGGGAGTCTGAGTTGACCATTTTCTTGAAGTTGTGCAGGTGACCTATCTAGGGTACTTGCTGTGCATGCATGCCATAGTAAAGAACTTCATTCTAGAGCAGTTCTTTTTGGGTTTTCGAGACAGGGTTTCTGTATAGCTCTGTCCTGAAACTCGCTTTGTAGACTGGGCTGGCTTCGAACTCACCAAGATCTGCCTGCCTCTGCCTTCAAGTCTGGGACTAAAGGCATGTGCCACCACTGCTCAGCTTAGAGCTGTTCTTTTAGACTTAGGAAGTAACTGAACTTGCTTCATGAAGGCAGTGTGCCAGCAGTGGCCTGACAGTTGTTTCTTCAGGCCTATGCCGGAGGAATATAGATACTAAAATTGAGCAGGTTTCCTTTCTCGTGGTGAGAAGTAAATTTTTATGTATGTAGATTGTTGTTGTTGTTTGAGACAGGTTCTTTCTCTGTAGCTCTGGTTGTCCTGGAACTCGATGTGTAGACCAGGTTGGCCTTGAGCTCACAGAATGCTAGGATCAGAGGTATGTGCCACCTTGCCTGGCTCCATAAGTGTTGTGTTTGGAACCAAGGCAGGGGCTTGTTAGTGTTTCTCCATTCCTCCATCCCTCCCTTTGGCTGATTTCTTTGTGCAGCCTTCTCTACCAGTGCTGCTGCTGCTGCTGCTGCTGCTGCTGCTGTTGTGAGCTCCACAGTGCTGGGATGAGCTCTCTAGCCCAGTGCTCTCATTCGATCATGTCCATTTGATCTCTGTCGCTTGCGGTATGGAGACCGTTCTCTATGGCTTTAGCCCTTGTAGCTTTACTTTATGTTGGCCTTGCTTTTCTGTGCTCCTGTCTTTGCTAACTACTAGATGTTTCCCTGTAAATACCCTGTTTTACCAGTATTCGGGCCTTGGCTATCTTTTTGTTACCGATTCTTCCAGAACATTCGATTCCTGCAGTTTGGTACTTCCTATATTCGTGTCTGCTTACAGATTGGTGTATTTGACTCTCTTTTTCTTCTGAGGCTCTAAAGCTAAAGTCAAGTAACATTACTTCATGCACCCTTACCAGCCCTTCATCTGGTTCCTTCTCATCTGGTTAGGCGTGCTGCCACCCACCTGGCCAGAATCCTGGGGACAATATTTGGTCCCTTCTTTTGTTGCTATGCCTACTGTTGGTTTATTGGAAAGTGGCATTTTGATCATAACATGCCGTACCTACTCTTGGCTAGGCATCTGGACTTGCTGCCTCTTCTGCCCCTTCCTGTTGTCACCAGCTCTCCATCTTCATGGATGCTCTCCTCAGATTAGGAGCATCCTCCTTACTTGGTTTATTAGCATTGTCTCTGTGGAGGAAAACAGAAGGCTCCTAATCTGGAGAGAGAGAGAGAGAGAGAGAGAGAGAGAGAGAGAGAGAGAGAGAGAGAGCGAGAGGGAGATGTTCCCTCCCATTTTCCAAGGGCCACCCACATACTACATATCTACATATGCACTACTCCTGAGCATATCTCTAACGCTGCTGGAATGATTTTTAAAAGTGCAAACCTGATTGTTAACTCCCTTTAAAAAAAAAAAAAAAAAAAAAAAGATCCTTTAAATGTCATCCTCAGGTTCTGCATTAGGTAAGAGACTGTTCTCTCAAGTAGGAAATATATAAATCCAACTTAATAGTGAGGGTATTGTAGCCCAGGCTGGCCTGAACTTGCTATGTAGCTGAGAATGATCTTCAACTTTATGTGTTTAATTTATTCTAGGCGTGTGGGTATTTTGCTGCATGTGTATCTGTATACCATGTGCATGCCTGGTACCTTCGGAGACCAGAAGAGGGGAGCTGGAACCCCTGGAACTTACAGACAGGATTTAGGTTGCCATTTTTGAGATGTTTCTAGAAGAGTGTTTACATTTCATCTGCAGCAGTGGCATTTAAAATAACGGTGGGAAAGCAATAGTTGGATGCTCAGTGTGACTCCAGAGAGAATAGAGCAAAATAAGGGCAGACAAGACTCCCAGATGTTCAGACACTTACCTGCTTCCCTCATTACGAGTATCTAGCTTTGCTTAGTTTGTATGTCTTTACATTTTCTGACAGTGTTTAGTGTACAGAACAGACCAAGCTCAAGACGTAAAGAAGATTGAGAAATTCCACAGTCAACTAATGCGACTTATGGTGGCCAAGGAATCCCGCACTGTCTCCATGGAAACAGAATGACTGGTTTGAAATGAAGACTGTTTGTATGTTCTTGGGAAGTAGATAGCTTTTGAAACTGAGAACGTTGGAAAGAAAATATTTATGTAACTGAGCTGTTGAGAGCTGAGGGACCAGCCTGTACTCTGAGGCTTGCTTTAGAGTGGGAATGTCACTGCTTGCAGTTACAAAACCTTTATTTTTGGAAACTGAATAAATACCCTAGAAATTTTTGCAGATCATTTGATGTTGGGCAAATATATAATTATTTTTCTGGTAAATTCATATCAGTAATTTGTTGAATTAACAAGAAAAGTTAGTTCTTTCTAGATTGTGTTTAAGAGGAAATAAAGTGTAACCTTTTGCTGTGTTGGTATGTTTCTTTTGGAGCATAACATTTGTGCCATTTATAATAAACGTGGCAGCTGAGGTCACTGCTCTGCAGTGCACCTGACCCGGCATTGTGAAAAGCAAGCTTGCTTCTCCTTCCTTACCAGGTTCAAACTGTGTTTGAATAGAAAGGATTGGTAGCATCAGCTGGCTGGGCAGTGAGTGACTAAGTCTGGCAGATGACGGTCTCTGTGATGTGCTGAAGCCACCCTACGCAGAACAGTCATCACGTAATTCCCACCCGAAGTCTCTCGGAAGAGTTAAGGGGTGTTCAGACTGAACTAAAGTACTAAGCATAGCATGCCTCTCAGAACTGTTAGGTCTCCAATAAGCCAGAAGTCTACTATTTCATATTTAACCTGTATTTGTAATCTAATTTTACCATCTAAATGTAATGTCCCATGTTGTCTGCTCAAGAGTGAAGGTATTGCATTAAAGTATTTTTTTGTAAAAGTTTGTCATGTTCAATAACACTTTAATTTAGAATTTTAGTCTTAAGAGGTCAGTAAATAAAATATAAATATACTGTTTTGTTGAAGTTTTAAATTTATTGTGTAGGTTTCTTTCTTTCCTTTCCTTCCCTTTCTTTAGCTAGGGTCTTACTAGTCCTGGTTATCCTGAAACTCACAGAGATCCACTTGCCTCTGCTTCCCAAGAGTTGGGACTAAAGGCGTGGGCCACCACACCTGGTTTGTTTTGATTTCTTGACTAGGTGATACAATATTCATTTAATCTGAAGTGAGTCTAGGGTTACTGAAAGTGAATGTTTTTATTATTTTTCTCATCTTTTTATTGCATGAGTCACTAAGCTACTTGTTGATGGTAAAATTGCTTTTTTGATCTGGGAAAGCACAATCAAATACTACTTTCGTAGTTTTAAGTTTTTTGGCTGTATGTTCTCCAGAATTAATGGGAGAAAGGGAACATGACCTTTTTCTCATTCACATCTTCTCTTTATGACTGTCAATAACCTGGGTGATAATTCTTACAGCCCATAATAAAACTCCAATGGTCATATCTTCTGAAAGATGTAGTGTTGTGCCCTGAGTTTATCTTTCATCAGCATTTTTGGATGTTGAATTAACTTGTGTGAGCTTATTTTTAGCAGTTTGTTTTGTGACATATTGGATCAAAATACAGGGCAGGAACTCAAGCAAGGCAGGAACCTGGAATATCTAGCTATACACGTAAGTTAATTTAAAAAATAATAAAAATAGCCGGGCATTGGTGGCGCACACCTTTAGTCCCAGCACTCGGGAGGCAGAGGCAGGCGGATCTCTGAGTTTGGGACCAGCGTGGTCTACAAGACCTACTTCCAGGACAGCCTCCAAAGCCACAGAGAAACCCTGTCTCGAAAAACAAAAAAACAAACAAAAAGTAATAATAATAAAAATAAAATGAGCACTGAGGAAACTGGAGCAGGAGGATCTAGAATTCAAGGCCAACCTTGACTACTTAGCCCCTATTTAAAAATAAATCAGTGATTAAAAGCACTAGCGGCTCTTTCAGAGGACCCTGTTTCAATTTCCCAGCACCCACATGATGGCTAACAACTGTCTGTAACTCTTGTTCCAGGGGATCCAACACCCTCACACAGATAAACATGCAGGCAAAACACCAATGCACATAAAATACAAATAAATTATTAAAAATAAATATACCCCCCCCATTTTATATTCAAAGTATCTTGAGTTTAATGGATGCCAGTTACACCTCAATCTCAGTAAGGTGTTTCTGACAAGAAAAATGGAGAAGCTGCTGTGACCGCCTGTGGCTGCTGCACCCATGACTCATGGCAACCTTTACACTGGCCCAGCTGCCCCCAGTACCCAGCCTGCCAGCTGGCCCCCAGCAGGCCCGCCTGCAAGTGCTGTCTGGAGCTTTGGTCTCCTTTTTCCTCTCCCCTCTATTCCCAGGCATCAGGCCGGCTCCCACACTTGCCCATCACTGCCACCGTGTCCTTAAGTTGGCACAGTGACATCTCACATCCCAAGTGACAGTGTGGAGCACATCGCCGTGATAGGAAGGTGCTCACGGTGCCTGGCAGAGTCTGTTGAGCAGGTGTCAGCTGCTACAGCAGGTGTTATTGTCAACTCGGAGGAGTTCTATTTCAGACTCATTGCAGTGTTGGTCTGACCCGTGACTGATGAGTCAATTTCAAAATGCTCAAAATGAATAATGAGTTGGGGCCGCAGGTGGCAGGTTCCTGGTTTTGGGCTGTGACCACGTGGATTGTGGGTGACAGGTGGCAGGTAGATGGGGAAACAGAGACCTGTAGACGAGACTTATTCAAAGTTTTATCGATGGGGAAGTAAGAGAAGAGATAGAGAGAGGACAGAAGAGAAGAGGGAGACAGTCCTGTCTGCCTGGGGGACGTCAGGAAAGAGGGAAAGGAGACAGCGGAAGTGGGCGGAACCTTTTTTTTTGTTTGTTTGTTTGTTTGTTTTTTTCCGAGACAGTTTCTCTGTGTAGCTTTGGAGCCTATCCTGGCACTTGCTCTGGAAACCAGGCTGGCCTCGAACTCACGGAGATCCGCCTGTCTCTGCCTCCTGAGTGCTGGGATTAAAGGCATGTGCCACCAACGCCCGGCGAGCCTTTCTTTTAAAGATGCAGGGTACATACACCTGCCATGTGCAGGTGGGTGAGCGGTGGAGCAGGTTTGCCTGGATTACAACACAGTTCCTCCCCCACCGTGTGTGAGGGATGAATGAATGGGGTGAACCTGAGGTCCCACTCAACCTCCAGGGCTGTGGCTTTGGACAAGTCACTTGCTTCATTTCCTCTCCAGAGAATAAGTAGTTGACATCCCCTGGCACACTGGCTGCTCAAGTGGGGACAGTGGAAGCACTGTAGTTGATGGAATCGTGGGCTGTTGGGAAGAGCAGGGAGAAACCCTTGCATTGGTTGCTTTATGGTCCGGTTATGTGAAACTTGTTACCTGTTCCTGGCCACCCATCCTCACCATCCTTCCACAGGATCATATTCTGAAGGCAAACACTTGGTCTTCATCCTTGCTGTGTCCTCAGGGCCTGACCCACAGTAAGTACTCTGTAAATGTTTGCCTAGTGAAGAGATGTATGGCAACCAGCAGCCAGGGTCCCACCCAGTGCTTCTCACTCGGAGCACTTAGGAGAGGACATACCTGGGCTGGTGAGGGGACTGAACACATAAAGGTGAAGCCTGCTGTTCCGAGTTCAATCCCCAGAACCAACTACCATAAGTTGTGTTGTACACACATACACAATGTTTATTTAAAAAAAAAAAAAAGTATAGTTACTGCCTAAGGCAAACCTTCCAGGAACTAATACAACACTCCCATTTGCAGACGAGGCAGGGGGACAGACGGTTGGATGGACGACTAACTTGGCATGTGCTGGGTACATTGACACATCCCCTCCAGCCCC